CAGGGACTCATGAAAAAGTATTTGAGACGACGGCGAAGGTCTTCCTCTTCCGGGGGTGTCGGAGGGGCCGGCGAAGGCCCCACCTGGGTCCCATACCCGGGGTTGGGGGTCAGAAGCCGCTCGGTCTCTGTGGGAATAGGAGAGGGTGCTGGGGTGAGGGCTGGGCAACTCCCCTTTTCCCCTTTATCCAACCAGGAAGGCAGCACACACCCTATCTTCATGTCCCTATGCTCCTGCCAAGGAAGAGTTCTGAGAGGTCTAAAGAAAGCCAGAAAACCTGTAACGTTGTCTGTATCTATGCACCAGTCCTGCTCAGAGGTTATGAGCTGGGGTTCAGGAGGTACAGGGCCTGGGCTGATTCCTGCCCCTCCTGCTCACCAGCTCTCTGAGTCTCAGTTTCCTGATCTGCAAAATGGGCCAGTAATCATGTCTCATGGGAATGCTAAGGACTGGACGCTTATGAAGCATTGATCACAGGGGCCGGTCCATGGTGAACGTCAGAACGTTTCATCAATGTTCTCGTTACTGATCTGTGGGGAGAGAATGAACTGCTCCCACCGGCTTTTCACTGGGCATCCAAGGCTCCTGGGCTCATCCCAGCTCCAGGTTCCGGACATGAGCATAGAACTCAGCCTGTATTCTAGGTTTGTCTGGACAGATACCCAAAAGATGACCTCTGGGTTCATTATAACCTGGCCCATCAGCTGACACTCTCAGAAGCCAAAGACCTGGGGAAGGGGTAATTGACAATGTAAGTAATAATAATGGAACACATTTGCTAAAGACTCATTTTATCTCCCTGAAAAGCACCAGCTCCTGGAAATCATGCAGCCCTAGCATCAAATCCTAGACCTGCCACTTTCCAGTAGGGTGACTCCAGGTACCTCCCTGGGCCTCCATCTCCTCATCTGAAGAGTGGAAATTTTATAAAGGCTACCCCTTGGCTGGGCTCAGTGGCTCATCCTGTTATCCCAACGGCTTTGGGAGGCCAACGTGGGATGATTGCTTGAGCCCAGAGTTTGAGACCAGCCTAGGTTATACAGCGAGACCTCCCTCTCTACAAAAAAACAAAAAAAATTTAAATAGTCAGGTGTGGTGACGGCTCATGCCCGTAGTTAGTAGCTGGGACTCCTTCTACCTGGGAGGCTGAGTTGGGAGGTCACTTGAACCCAGGAGTTCAATGTTACAATGAGCTAGGATTATGCCACTGCACTACAGCCCGGGTAACAACAAAAAAAAAGTCTCAAAAAAAACGTCCACCCTCCCCCTGAGCCCTGAGGTTGAGATCCTGAAGCTGCTGTAAGAATTCAGTGAGACACAGCAGATAAAGACCTCTTCAGCAAACACAAGCTGTTCTAATCACTATTTTATTTTTTTTCCAGCCTAACTGTGAGATCTAAGGTTTCAGCAACTGCTGGAGTCCAAACCGGTCACAGTAGCCCAGAACTGTCCCTGTCACACCCCCATGGGGATGTGCTTTCTAGGGCCTGGCCCCCTGCCTAGCAAAGCTGTCAGGATAAATGTGTGCACTGTCAGAACCTCCCATGCAGAGAGGGACAAGTTCCCGGCCCCTCCCTTTGTAATGGGATGCTGCTGTGGCTGTTTACCACAAAGTCAGAGAGCAGGACCGGCCTACAGAGCTGAGATTACAGCTAACCCACCCCAGACCCTGCTAGCTGGGACACCGGGACACCTATCAGGTAGGGGTCCCCAGCTAGCTCCAGAAGGGGAAGCTAACACAAGGGGTCTTCCTCTAGCCTCCCCGAGAAGGGGTGGCATCAGAATTGGCTGGAAGCCCGAATTTAAGAAGGCTGCGCTTCCCCAGGTTTGCAAAGCTAAAACTGAGTTAATCTCCTGGGAGCAATCCCTCCAGCTCTCCCCGCTTGAGTTTAGGGTAGCTGAGCATTTGTCTCCTGGAATCGGGAGGGGAAGGCTGGGAGTCTCACGCGCGGGTTGGAGAAGCTGGTGCCCGCTGTCTGAGTTCCAGCCGAAGTTGAGCAATCGGAACCTAGGCTCCCAGTGGAAATCCCAGGAACCTCGCCGCCCCAAAGGGAGAAGCTGGCGGCCCGGCGCGATCGCTGCTTGAGTTTGGGAACCCAGCAGAGCCTGGCTTCAGGAGGGAGAATCGGAGAGGCTGGTGCCCACCCGCCGCCCAAGTTCTAGGAGCCGTCTGCCCATTTCTCCACCGTGGGGAGGCTGAAAAGTCAGCGCTGGAGCTTAGAAAAAAAGAGACTGGGAGCTCCGCCGCCCCAGGTCGGAGAAGCAGCCCGCCCGCCTGAGTTCCGGGCCCCACGGTGCCGCCCGCGCCCTCACCTGAGCCGCGCGGACCCGCCGGGTCTGTCATGCTGGGGCGGGCGCGCACGACGCAGGCGGGTACCGCGGGGCAGCCTGGGTCCGATCGCCCGCCGCTGTCACTGCGACCTCGCTCCCTCGCGGCCTGTCTCTTATACACATCTAGATGTGTATAAGAGACAGGGGTCCGATCGCCCGCCGCTGTCACTGCGACCTCGCTCCCTCGCGGCGCCGCTTCAAACCCTCCGGCATCAGCTGATCGGTGCCTCGGTCACGTGACCCGGTAGCCCAGAGCCCCTCACGTGACCGCCTCTGGTCCCGCCCCCTGCGCCACGACAACGCCTGCCGGAACAGCGCGCATGCGTGCCTCGACCGGCGCCCTCTGGGTCGAAGGCAGTCGCCAGGTCCTAGCGCCGACGTGCTCTGGGTGGCGGGGGATGGGCTGACTCTGAGCTTGGCAGCGACGAGCTCCGCCCTGGCTCCTGGCCGTGCCCCGAATCCGGTGCCAGGCTCGTGACTTCCATGTCCAGAGCTTGACCCCTTATCCTCGTTGGTGCCTGGTGATGACCCTGCGTACTATCTCAACGCTGTCTTTCTTTCTCCCAGAAACTCCTTTTACCCTTCTGCGGATCTTCAGCAAACACGATTTCCTAATTATGTATCAAATAGAACCACTTATCCCCACCCCTATGGCCCCCAGCCCAGAGTCTTCCAACATTCCTGGCCTGGATCTTTGCAGCAACCTCCTCCCCGATCTCAGCCTCCCTCCACTCCACTCTCGACCCAGCAGCCACAAGCATCTTCAAAGAATACTGCCTATCCGTCCTGCGAGAACCTGCCCTCGGCTTCCCATTGCTCTGGACTGACAGGCAGAGTCCCCACTCTCGTCTATCAGGGCCCTCTGATTTGGCCCCTACCTCCACCCAAAGCTCATCTTTCTATAGTCCCAGAGCCTTTGCAAACTTTTGCCCTGGAGCGTAACGGTTAAGAATTTGGACTCTGGAGGGCAATTGGGATTTAAATCTAGGCACTGACAAATGCCACTTCTACATCTTCCAAAGTCCCTTCAACTCCAAGCTGAGCGCAGTGGGTGGTGGCATGCACCTGCAATCCCAGCTACTCAGGAGGCTAAGGTGGGAGGATCGCTTGAGCCCAGGAGGTCGAGGTTGCAGTGACTATGACCACACCACTGCACTCCAGCCTGGGCAACAGAGCAAGACTGTCTAAAACAAAACAAAACAAACAAAAAATATATACATATGTGCCTCAATTTTCTCATTTGCAAAATGCGGAGATTCAATCAAAGTTGTCTACCTCCTGGGACTGTTGAGAAGATTAAATGAGAGAATGCAAAAGCTATTGCATAAGGCTGGGCAAACAGTACTGATTATTAAGTTAGTGATTATTGGGATTATAAAATCCTTCATTGAGAAAACTGCCTACCATTTATATCAGAAGTCTTGTTATGCTTCTCCTAGAATATACCATACCCTGTAATTATTTTTTAAGTATTCTGGATTTAATATCTGCGAGCTCCGTGCAGGTCGAGGCCATACTTATCTTGTTCCCTGCTGAGACCCCAGCAATCCAGAGATGTTTGTTGATTGCATAAATGAGCAACCTGTTTTTCTGCTTCCTGCAGAGACCCCAGCAATCCAGAGATGTTTGTTGATTGCATACATGAGCAGCCTCTTTTTGTACACTTGTGTGCCTACTGTGTGGGCTTTGAAGAGCAAGGGGTAAGTGAGGGGAACAAAGAGTGGTGACTAGTGGGATGGACCAGGGTGAGGCATTGTGGGTTAAACTGGAAAGTCTAGCTGGTGGGACTCCAGGGCCTAAGAAGGAAGCCAGGACACTGGAGCTCCAGATCGTGGCTGGCCCTGGCCACACTGTCCCATCTCTGGAGCAAGGGGCTGTGCTCAGAAAGAAAGCACAAAAGGCAAGCCACGACACAGAAGCCGGAGGCAGTGGGAGGATTTTACTAACTGCACAACACACAACTTCCCCAGGCCCCCGAGGATGCCCGAGTCCCCTTCAGCCATCAGGCCCCAGCAGTGCCGCTTGCTCCTGTACCCACTCTGGACTCTCGCCGGTAGGGAGGGCTGGGCTGACAGTGTCACCAGTGGGAGAGCAGGGGTCAGGGTGGGACACAGGGTTGGGATCAGGGCTGGGCACAGGATCAGGGTCTGGGCTGGGCACAGGATCATGGTCTGGGCTGGGCACAAGGTCAG